TGAAAGAATCTTGTTTAAGTAAAATTCTTTGAACAATGTACAGTTATTCAATTTTATTCTTGTAGAGCCCTAAATCACAGCAGTAGTAATCTCAGAGGACTTTACAAAACCGTTGTATTCGCAAACACAAATCAGAGAATCAAACACCAGAAATGTAATGTGTTTTTTTTTTTTTTTGTGGTTTGCATACTGAGAGCTGATTGGGGCTGAGTGAAGACTGACACTTTCTTATTCACGGAAAAACCTGATCTAAAGATGTGACAGAGGCTAGAGAAGGGAGAGAAGGTCTGGGATTGTGTCTAAGCAGTGACACAAGTTTCACAGCATTCACATGGTTTTACCCATTCATCCATCCATCCTGTTGTAATGACCAGCTCGGGTTTTTGCAAAAGATCCATTTATCAACATAAACTTGGACATCGGTCATCTGCCCAAATGGACCAACGCCAATGTGTTTACCATTTAATTTCTTGAGTTTGAACTATTTACAGTCTATGGTTTTAACTGTTTGATTCTCTGATCTGTGTTGGCGAATTCAATGGTTGTGTAAAGTTCTCCAAAATAACTACTGTTGTGATTTAGGGCTATACAAGAAAACATTTGAATCCATATATACAAGTTCATTATTTTTGGTTTCAAAGTTAGGCACTCCAGCTTTAATCCGTATAACCACAGGAGTAGCTGCTCTGTGGTCTTTGTGTCACTTTCAAATATGTAAACAAATAGAGTGTTTTTATCAGGGTCAGGGGAGATTCAGATGGAAAACAAAATGCCTAAACACATGTAAATCATTGCATGCTGTGATTTGGTCTCAGTAAAAGTAGCACTCTATTTAATTCAATTCAATTCAAGTGTTTATTTGGGCATCTATAAGACACAAAACCAATTATACGAAAGAAAAGCACTGAAAAGACACTAACTCTTTCTCGTGTTGTGCGAGGACTTTTGCTTTGTGTGTACCTGATGCTTAAGCCAGAACCACAACTTCACGCAGCGTCAGTGACTAAACCGCCTCCAAATAAAACAAGCCAAAGTAACAAATCCTTTTTCTTTAACAAATCAAATCTCCACTATTGACCCTAAAAACATTTCTCACAAAGTACAAATACATCAAAAAACATTGCGTCCTCTACTGCCCCGAACAAAAGCATTTCTCATGTAACTTGAGGACAAAGGATTTAGTCACTGGAAGTTCTGGATCTGCAGTCCACTTTCTGATTCATAACGACTTCTCGGTAAATAAAAACAGACTAAGCAGGCTTACGCAGGTCTTTGGTCCAATATTGAACATTAAATAACAGCTCTTTGAAGAACGGCAGAGCAAATAATCGTTCAAGATGTCCCATTTGTTGTGATGAGGCTTGTAAATTACAGCCATAAATATGTAATGTCATAGCAGTGAGAACATGATCCGGCAGATGAGAAAATGATGAGCTGATTTACTCTTCTACACCTCTGTTTGACTGAGACAGACCTTCTCTCCATCAGCTAAAGGAAACTCAAGCTTGTGACATCTCACTCCTACAGCAGCAGGACGCAAAATATTTATCATCTTGAAAATACTTCCCCCTTGGTTTGAAATGTCTTACGTCCTGAAGCTTAATGTAATAAACCTCTTGGATCTTTTCTTCATAACTGACGAAGCCATATGGCAACGGCGACTAGTGCTACTGCCTTTATTTACGACCCATATTACATCAACAGCACCGTAAACTGAAGAGAAATATTTCTAGCTGCATTTTCACATGTCCCAACAATAGTAGATTTCTCAATTCCAACCAACTTTTCGCTTTCCATGTCGTAAAACCATATTTGTTGCATGCACGGTCCATAGAACGAATGGTACGAAGGGTCATTTCCTGTGCTTTTATCGATTTTATATGGTCATTAATGTGTTATAGGCAGTGTTGGCTTCTACTTATAGATTGTGTAGGGTTAAGCTTCCTGTTTGATTTACTGCTACAGCTTTTAAACTAATGCTGCCCTGTGGGGGGTGCTACTACGTCCCCCACCTCCACACAGGTAGGAGGAACTGACTCAGAGCCATGTGGGTGCAGAGAGAGAGAGAGCGAGAGAGCGAGAGCGTGAGAGAGCGAGATAGAGAGATAGAGAGAGAGAGAGAGAGAGAGGGTTTGGTGCTGTCCCACTGTGAGCATGCCCTCTTAATCAGACCAACATACACAAACACAGATATATGGAGACCTGCAGTCCCCACAGTCCCTTATCTGATGGAAGTGGATCTGACCACACAGCCAGGGGTGTGACCCGCCGACCTCATATCAGTCACATCAAAGACCAGGATGCCCCCACACGACTCGAGGAGCACTCTGGTTAATACTGAGACATGGGCAACATGACATTTATAAGTTGTAATGGAACTAGCAGATAAATTTATGATCCAACTATCACTTACTTTACTCTATGTCATTGATGTTATCTATTTTCTTGGAATCTACCTCAGTACAGTAAAAAACGTTTACATTATTAACAAATAGTATAGGGTGAATATTAATTTCAATTCGGCCCCTGTGGACTCACCACCTGCAGGAGGATCAGTGAGGGGCTGGAGCAATGTGTACTGGGTGCAGCTCTGACTGCCACCTCCCCGACCCAGAAATGGATTAAGGGGAAGAAAATGGATGAATGGATGGATGAATATTAATTAATTTTTTTCAAGAATGTGTACAACAACTTTTAAGACAAAAGAAACATGATTAACAGTTTGTGAATCATGTCAAAGGAATAGAATGAAGAAGATGCTTATTTAGTTCCAACGTCTCACATTCAGCAGATGCGCACACACACACAGGCCAAACACTCTCTGACCCTACACCGCTCTCATCAAATTTAATATTTTTGCTTTCCAAACCCATGAATCAAAACCGGTCGGCTCACTTTCTGCCGATACAACCTGTAACTAGCTTGAAATGTAGATACAATTTAATGGAAGACTGCACAACGTTCAAAAAGCGGACCATCCACCAGGAACGTGGCGCCGTGCAGCTTAAAGTGTGAAAGGAATTACTAGTCTGTTGCATATGTTATGTAGTTCATTCATCGTTTGCATTTTGTTCTATTATTCAGCTATGAAGACGGGCAATGCTAACCCCCTCGCTCTATGAAGCCCAATAGGGAAGTGCTCCAACTCGCTCTGGCTCTTATTGACTTACATGGAAAAGTAAACTCCTCAGTAACCGCGTATGTCACACTCACCGATTTTGTCTTTAATCAAATCTGTGGTTACGCACTCTGTGATCCTGATGTTTATATAGTGATTGTTTTTTTATTTATTTATCCAGACATGAAACAGGACAACTAAACAATCAGAAGCCTTTTGTCACCAAATCCGGCTTTAGCCAACACAACTCCTGACTGGTGCTTTGTAACTAGGATGATGCAAAAAAACTAAATTTGCGTAAATTTGTTCAAGCTAGCTCTAATCAGCATCCCCTGCATTAGGGCTAACACTTGAGTTCTTAAATCAAATTAAAAAGGCAGATGCATTGGTTACTAGTCATTTCACTACATTTTATTGACCGTGTTGTTTACATTGTATGTGACAAATAAATATCTATCAATCAATCTATGGGTGACGTCAGCACTCGATCAGTCTACTCCTAAATAACTGTACAGTCTATAATCTCAATATTGTCTCTTACGATCCTGCGAAATGTTTGTAGACAGGAAGGTTTAGATCATTTGAAAGGTGTTGCTGACTCAACACAGAGGACAGGACAGTATGCCTGAATAAAGAATGTTATTAGGAGGTGGATGAGTTCGAATGTTGCCTCTAGTTGTTGCATTTGTGTGATGAGTGGGCGTCCCTGTTGCACTTTCATTTGGCCCTGCTGCTCAGGGAGAGTGTGTGCCTCAGGTCAGATCTTTAAACCAGCACTAAACGTGTTAAATGTAAAGATGACAATAGTGCTCTCATTGGACGGCTCCACATGTTTTTAATCAGCCCTGGGACCGTAAAGCTGTTGTGTTGGTGTGTAAACAGGGCTGTGTGCGTTGGTCTGCTGGAGTGTGTGTGTCGATGCAAACGGCTCAGCGTTAATGACAAACACCTGAAGCTTGTAAGCAGACGGAGGCTCCGCGACACCGTTTGAATAAGACTAAACGGCTATATTGTCATCACTGACCATAAAAGGGTTCTAAAGAAAGAACATGACATTTGTCCTGGAAACCTTTGATACCTCACGTTTTATTTTTCAAAGATCTGCGGAGAGCCTTAGTGCCATTAGAAAATATTTTAAGGAAAACATCTAAAAAAGAGCCCTAGGAGTCAGGTATTCCAACCATTTTTTAGAATGTGTAATAATATCTTAAGTAGAGGGAGTTAAATTTGTTTTTTGTTTTTTTCCCCCAAATTTGAAGATAACCGGCTGCATAAAAATGTCAATCACCTGCAAAATTACCGGACTGGAGTAAGGATTCGCGTAGGAGGAGAGGCCTGTATAGCCTAATGTGATAGAGAGAAAGATTCCCGCACACCGTCTTACTTGCAAATTAAAAATAATTTATTGGAAGTGCGACATTTCGGCGTTATGCCTTCATCAAGCAAATATCAGCAAAAATACCTGCAAAATTACCAAAAACAATTCAAGGCCAATATTTTTGCTTTAAAAGGCAGAAAACTGCTTAGTGTGATGTCACAGAGGTACAATGACATCACAACGGGACTGAGACAGAAGGGCCAGTGTTATACGTTTGTGCCAGAGGTTCCTAATATTAGCGTGGATGGATCTAAAAACAGCTCCAGGTCTGTTTTTGATGAGGTTAAATTTTGTAAAAAGGTTAAATGCTTAAAAAATGCTATCGGCAGACAATTTACCCACGGCTCTCATTTAAAGGCCAAGAATAAGAAATGATCTGAAGAACTAGAAGTTAAGTTTCATTTTCTTTACAGGTCAGAGGTTGTGGTCACATAAGGCTTCGTGTGCACTGCCCCCTGTTGGTGTCCGGGCTGCCCTGGTGTCAGTGCTGAAAGCTGATAGAAGTCACTCCCTCTCCATAGCTTTAATAGTGGAGATGCCGCTCGTGCTGTGAGTGCCTCTCTCACACACATACCGCGGCCTGTGATCCTCTGGGTGCCAAGGACCAGTTTCTCATGTAGCGCTGGTGCTAAAGGCGGCTCTCCTTTCAGTGTCATGTTGAGAGAGGAGCCAGCGCCGGGCCCTCAAAGGCAGTGGTGACACTTAAAACTTTCATAGACTGTCACTGTACTGTATGTGCCTGGACAGACAAGACATTTAACAATCTAACTAAGAACGGAGAGAAGTAGAGCGATTATTGAAATAACAGCAAATTTCAAATGATGGTTCCTCCATAAATATCAGAAAGTCTTTTAACAGACACAGTGACTCAAAACAACAGCATTACATTTTAACATTGGTGACTGTTTCTCGCTGTGTGAAAGCAGTGTATAGCTGGAGAGCAGTCTTTTGAAATGTTAACAAGTCAGTGTTGGGCAATCTAACAAGGGGGTGAGGAGAAAAGCATGCACTCAGGCATCTGCAGCATCAAAGCCACAATAAACAGATTGAACAGTGAACGTGCATCATGTATTCCATAAGACAGGAGACAACAGATTAAGAGGCTGGGGGCCACACTACTGCATCACCAAGCTGTGTTGTGTTTGTTTAATGTGTGTATTAAATAATATAGATTTAGCTTTTCAACAGGATTATGAATACACCAAGGTTTGGACAAGCATCAAGACATCATACATATTATAGCTGAAATAAAAGCAATGCTGGCAAATGTTTTGAAAATGAAATGCTTAGGTAGAGTTGGATAACAAAACAACAATGACAAGTACAAAATGTTGAAGAAAACAAACAATAAAAGCGGACGAAGAGGGACTGAGAGCAGACAGAGTTAAACAGAATTGGCACAGCAAACCTGAGGCAGCGAAAAACAGAACGTGTTGAAAATGAGCCAGAAATTCCACTGGTGAACGCTTTCACCTGTTCTCATTGTTTCTATTCACACACAGGAGACACTAGAGGAGCAGCGAACGACTTCCACAGATAAAGATCAACGCGAGTCAGCAACTGCACAATCTGAGCTCAGAGATGGAGATATTAGCCAGAGGACAAATAGACAAAAGGGGCCATTTGAGAAGACATTTTGATATCATTGTGAATACCACTTTCAGTAAAAAATAAAAATCTGTTCCCAGTGCTCTGTCAAAAAGAGCTGGATAAACGACTAGAATTATAAGCCAAATAAATGTAAGTTCTTTACTAAATGTCTGTGTTTCCAAAACTTCACCAGTCTAATGGAGTAATTTATACATTTTTACTTTCAAGTAATCTATTAACCATGTCAGCAAGATATACTTACATGTTTAAGAACTATATGGTATAGACAAAACTTACTTTTAAACCAGGAGTTCTGCATGATATAACAAACTCCGTTGCTCAGTGCCAGACTATTTCACATGATTTTAAGTGATTATAATAAGAAGCGTGGGTAGAGATAAAATAACAATATCTGCTGTCAAATGTGTAACATATGTAATTGATTATAAAACATCAAGTTTAAAAGTGCAGGTTTGTGTTCAAAGAAAGGCACAAAGGTTCCTGTGCATCCCAAACATGTAGGTCTTGAGTGGCCACACTGCCCAGGCCCTCAGCATGGATCACACACTGTTCTGCCCAGGCCCATCACGAGCTGTAATGAACACCAGCTCAAATGTTGCGGTTCTTGGCACATGGTCATTTTATCTATTAAAGTCCTCCACAGGCAGGACGTCCCAGACCCACTGAGCTGCTGAGTGCTGAGCTGTGTTGTCTCAGTGTGGATGTTGTACAATGGCCTCCCACACATTCAGCTTCAACTACAGAATGAAGCTCAGTGCTTCTCAGACTGACACCCCAGAAATGAGTCCTGATTGTGGCAAATGTAAGGTCAGTTGCAGATTTAGTTATTATTAGTTCCTGATTTAATCTAATAGGATGTGTCAAGCTAAGAAAGTGGTTTCTGAAGTTGTTCTTGAGCGAGGTTTGAGTCACTGGTGTGGTACGAGTACACATACCTGGAGGACAGGAGCACTCCTGGACAACATCCCTCGCAGTTCGTAATTTAGGCATCATTGACTCCACTTTCTGCAATCATCAAATACAAAAAACAAAAACCAATTGAAAACCAGGATAAGCAGAGTGAATGTCACCCTTGTATCTCCAATTGTCACATATGTGTCGTCTATATGTCTTTACCTCCATACAAATGCGTGTACCAGTGGAGAAAAGTGTAAAATAACACATGTGTGTTTTATTCAGTCCGGTTATTCCTAGGATGTGGAAGTGGACTTTTCTGATTCATAAAACATATCTCTGTGTAATGCACGTACCTCTTGTACAAGTCGTCCGATCGGAGTTCCCAGCTCAGGTATAAGGGAGCCATCCTCTTGGAGAAAAGTCGTGTGGAGCGGCTGAAGGACTGGTGCCCGCTGCAGCTCTGCGCTCAGGCGGCTCTCCAGCTGCTGCGTCTTGAGGCTCATGAGGAGACACAAGGTGATGGCGCTCAGAGACATCAAGGCGCACAGAGCCACAGGGAACCCCGGTGCCCAGCGCTGAACAGCGGACTGAGGAGAGCACTTACACGCGGCTTTATGCTCCTCCATGGACTCGCTGCTACTATCCATCACTTTTGTGCTGATGAAAAACAGTATTCCAACTGAAAACCCAGCCGCTCCAAACAAGCACAGTGCTGCTATTAAAGTTGGACAACTGCCCTGGCTTCAGTCCACTTGGGGGGCGAGGAAAGAGTGAGTCTAATGGCACTGCACAGGAATGGATGGGTCGCGCACGGCTCAGACGGCTGCAGCAGTGGGCTGTTTGCTCAGCAGGTCCCACAAGGATGTAACAGGCGGTTACAGGCTCACTACCAATGGTACAAGTGTATGCCTCCCCTAAAGTGCACCTCGCTTTGAGGCGCGCCGCCCCGCTGACCACGTGGGGGGCTAGTGACAGCTCTGATGAGACTGAGGCTTTCTAGGCTCATCAAGAGTTTGACAAAGTCGTAATTGCGCTTTTAAGCAATATTTAGTAAACAAACCAAACCCCGTCTGGAAAGATTAGCACTGATATAAATGTATTCATGCCATCATGCTGCTTTTGGTAGAAGACCGCAAATCTCAATTCAGTAGTTCATTCATCAATAACTAAGAAATAAACACGTTAAACCTCCAAAGATCCGTTGCTCACACGAAATACCAGCAGCTGCGCGTGAAACAGCTGATTACCGCCCCCTGGTGGAATGTTCTGAAATTTCATACAGTGCATCAAGTCAATGATCATCTGTAGACTATGATTCAATTTACTCTATACATTTCACACGGAGACTAGAATTGTACCAATCGGATGCAACTGTATATTGATCAGAATACTGAAGAGAAAAAGCATTTCGACTATAGATTGCAGGCAAACCAAATAGACTTAGAATATAACAAAAAATGATTTTAATTGTTTTATTTAGGAAAATGTTTAACCTGTAAAGAGTTTAGAAAAATTCACTGTTTATGTACATACAATTTCCCTGTCATACACATAATGCTGTAAAATTAAATAATGTCAAGGTTTCAAACAATATTTAGCATTACCCATAAATCACAGGACACGTTTTCGAACTTCAGAAATGACAATAGAGGCAGAGAAAAATAAATAAGTTTTGTGAAAATATTCAACATGTTCAAGAGATGTTGCACAGAGGTGCAGCAAGTCCGAGGGCTCAAAGTGTCATTGAACAGTTTTCCAGTCTCCAGCAGGAGGCGCTGCAGCCCTGAGCTTTAAGAGAACAGCAGACTGGAGTCTGAGGCAGTGGACTGATACAGTCAAAAACGGCTCTCCTGGAGAGTCCTCATCTGAAGCAGCTTCTCGTCTCTTTCCTGAAGCTTTAGCTCAAACTGATTTACTGCTGCTACTGTTGCTGCGCTCACTGCTGGTGCTACAGTGACTGCTGATGCTGGTGCTGCTGTTGCTCTTGTGGAAACGGGAGAAAAACTTGTGTCTGAGGGCCTGCTCCAGACTGAGGCGCTTGGCCGGGTCGTACTCCATCATCTTCTCAATGAGGTCAAAGAGCTGCTGGTGATCCTCGCTCCGGGACATCATGTAATGCTGTGAGAAAAGAAAAGTTCATCTGCTGCCAATGTAAAATTACTCAGAAGTAAAGCCTTTAGATAAACTAATGCAATTGGACTATTATAAAACATGCATTTTTTTCTTAAATGTGTTTACTTCAGACACGTTTTGAGTTCCACAAGACAGACCAAAGGCAAAATGAAATGCCAATTTGAAATCATGATTTGCAGGTTTTAATACCCAATTAATTTGTCTATCAATTTCAAAACCTTCTTAATTATAAAAGGACTCCACTCTGGGGTTGCCCCGATTTGATTTGTAAAGGTCTTGTTCAGGGAAATCCTCACAAACACCAGTTACTATATTTTTCTAAATCAGTTGATGGAAAACCTTGCTCCTGACAAAACAACAGTCTTCTCACCTTAAGAGGTTTGCAATGTTTCCGGACATATCTTCCTGAAGAGCTGTAGGCGTCCCAGTCCAACTTGGATCGATGTACATATCTGCGTTTCCTGCAGATAAAAAGGCCGTTATTAAAGCAGTGATTGGGCCTAAAAGGTATAACCGAATCCAAACTGTGGTGAAAATATACAAACTTGACTTGACAGCAGCTCTGTAGAGTCAAGAGTAAGACTTTCAGAACAAACCTGGTTTTCAGCAGAAGATTAGTGGGAATGGGGCCCAGGACCCTCTCCATCATAGCAAGGTGTTCTTTGCTGTCATGAGTCTAGAAGTACAAATGTTGGTTAAATACAATTTTGAGGTTGAAGTAGTTTAATTTATACACCTCAATTGGTAAGTCACCTGAAAGAGAGTTGCTCCAAGGTAATACTCAATAAGTATGCAGCCGATGCTCCACACGTCACAGGAATGATCCCAGCCCAAATCTAAGAAACAGCAAAGTTAAAACTAGCTGAAATCCTAACATTTGAGGAAGGACTGTTAGTCAAGCTCACCTAAGATGACCTCAGGAGCGCGGTAGTGACGCGTGGACACTACAGATGTGTGGTGCTCATGGTCGTAAGTGGCATTACCAAAATCCACTATTTTCACATCAGGGTTTCTCAAGGTTCGTTCATCTCGTTTCTAAAGGTTTGGCCAAAAGGTTAATAATCAGATGCACGTAGTGTTACATAAAACATATGTTAAATTCTTACCATATCTGCGTTATACTCCAAATCATAGTCTGACTTAATGAACAGTATGTTTTCAGGTTTTAAGTCTGTGTGTGTCAACTTGTTTCTGTGCAAAACTATTCAGAGAAAAAGACGGCTTAGACACAAACCTTAACTGTGAAAACATGATCACTTTTACTTACATCGCACAGCTTGAATGATCTGGTATGCCATATGTCTGATGTGCTCGATAGGAAACGGTTGGAAGTTGTTCTCTTTGAGGAAATCATAGGTGCTGAGGCCCAGCAGTTCAAATGCAATGCAGACATGACCATGGAAGTCAAACCAGTCAAGCATGTGCACACAAGAACTGGAAGAACAGGTTACCAGTTACACATCAGTATATTTTAATGTTTCATGTAGAAAGTTTCTAGCATCAACAGGGTGGATGGTATTGACGTGTGTTACTTACTATCTGTTCTGAGAGTCAAGGGCTTTCAGCTGAGCCAGCACCTCCACCTCAGACATAGCCGCCTCACGATAACGGTCTATATTTTTAATGATCTTCAGAGCCAATCGAGCTCTATTACTGGAATACAAACATGTTTTATTCTCAACTGAAACTTTGCATGGGTATTAAGTCATTATTACTTTCAACTTACTTTCCATGATCAATGCATTCCACAACCTTCCCAAAGGCACCCTCTCCAAGAGTACACACTATCTCATCTACAGAGAATAAAGAAATGAAGTTACAGAGGGCACTGGTGACGTGAGGCTGGTTCACTGCCTGCTGTTATATAGCTGAGAATACTACACTAAACATATCAGTGATCACTATGGACTAATTTGCTAAGAACAATGATAAATATTCTAAAGCTAGAAAGCAGTAGCTTAATAAAATACAATCTAAACCCCCAAAGCCTCAACCCCTAAACTTAAAATGTGGAAATATACCAGACAAGAAGAGAGTGAGAAAGACAAACTAAATAATAAAAAAAGGTGTATATTCTATACATCTTGAGTTCAGCATGTCTCCACTGTGATAGATGAGGTGACCCTCGTCATCATCCTCAAAACTCCTGGATCTTTTCCTGCGGTGATGGCTCCTCCTCTGCACCGGACATCACACCAATAACCATCATCAGCCAGCACGGGCCACCACAACGACACGTCAATCATTCAAGCAGGCCAAAGGGCGGGGGAGGGGTGGACAGTTTCGGCCCGTTCAGTAACACGCCAGGCGAATGGACGGCGCAGCAAATTCAAATTCAGCCCCGTCAGAGAAATTGGGCCAGCCACCACATACGTGTGTGTTACAGAAGAAAAACATGGCAACAAAATTTTGAGATGAGAGACTTCTTCAGATAAGTACAGAAAACACTTTGATTGATTACAGTTATAGCACTTGGATCAGATATGTCCACTTATTCTTTCAAAACTACAAGCACTGTGTATCCCCTTTTCTGAACCCATAACCCAAACTAGCATCATCATGCTTAATAGAGACTAAACACTAGAAATAATCAGCTTGTGTTGTGCTGCATAGACAAGACAAAAAGGGATAAGAGCGAGAGCCCCCATACCGAAGCGGAGCGGTGGCGAGAATGGCTACGCCTGTGTCGCCTGTCTCTGTGTCGCCGGCTGCTTCTGCGACTGCGCCCGCTGCGCCCTGAGGACTTGCTATAGTGGTGCCAGCTGCGATCCTTCTCTTTGCACGCCTCAGTTCGACTGTTCTCTTCACAGGCCATTTCCAAGCTACGGTCTCGGGCAGGTCTTCTCCGAGAGTCCAACCTTTGATTCAAGCTGCGGGTCTCCAAGTAGTGCCTACAAGGAAACAAGCACACATTTAAGATAACCCCCAATTAGTGGTCTGAGATCCATGGGCACGCAGCTTGTGTTCAGGCTCCGAAATGAACTTGTGACGCTCCTTTAGGCCCGCCTCATTCTTGACACTCAATCCCTGGAGCCATTTATGTAGCATTTTTAATTAGCATCATGCTCCATTACAGCCAATAAACTAGCACCTGTGCTTATTAATGCAAAAAGGGATAAAGTTAAAAATCATGAGTTATCATGAACAGCTTTATAAGAGCATTTGTTGATAAAAATGCAGGTCAGCCAGCCAAACTGGCAAAGTTTAGGTGTGACCCGAAAGCATGTCAACACAACCTGAGGATGTGAAATTTGACCACAGGCTCAACACCTGCTCATCGCCAGACACTAGATGCTGTTACCCTCTGAGCTCAAATAAAAATGCTGCATTTGCAAAGTTCAATAAGACGAAGGGAGTGTATTTATGGGTGCTTGTTTACAGAGACTGTTTTGCAGTTTTATTACCCAGCCACCAAGGTTAGCATCATCATCTGAAAAGGACAAAAAGTCTATTGCCAAGCACCCAGCTGGTGTCCGGTAACTCCCAGGAAAAAGTCTGCCTCTCTACAGAATTAAAATTAGAGCAGAACATTGGACACACAACTTCCTGTTACTGCCACTACCAACCTAAATTACATCACATTTTAAAATGTAAACATGAGCACTCAAAATGAAATAAACTGCAAGACCTAAATGACCTTTTCCTAATCATTACCGAGGAAATTACACCTGTCCATTAAAATAGCCTATAGTCTTCCCTGAATCACCCCCAATGCTCTGCCTGGGCTCACTGCCACTTTGTAAAATTAAAAATTCAAGCAGATAAACCACCAGTAGATCCCTAGTTGTCCTGGGAGTTGTAGCGTGACAGTGAGTGAAGAACTATTTGCTGCAAAATTGTTGTAATATTGTGAGAATATAATGTATTGACAAGATGACATGCTTCAATTTCCCAGACAAATATTTATGAAATGTAATTTATGGGGTCAGTTACAAACAATAGTTATATAATCATGAAGGGAAGTAGGGCCAAATAAGAAATATGCTTCTGCCTGCACATGTCCTGGTCTGTTTGATGTCCTTAAAAGGTAAATACTGATTATTTATGCAGCTGTTGTATTGCAATTTAACAAATATGAAGCTGAAGTAAAGCCCCCAGTGATTTTTTAAATTAAATATATGTCTTTATATACATGTTAGTTTGTGGCGGTCAAAATCACATCTCTAAGCAAATGTATTGAAGTCATACCGGCTTCACAAGTCGCAAACAAGACAACAAAATCTAAAGCTGCCAGCTGCCGTGAAAATGAAGACTGCACAAAAGTGTTATTATACATTAAGCTCAAGTTAATATTAGGTTTTCCAAAACAAAGCTAACATTTAGCCTTTGAGTTTGTAGTAGCAATGATCTATTGTTAAAACTCTGCTTCGATTAAAAATAGAAAGCAAAGAGCAAACTTATTTACAATTTTGGTAATATCAGAATCTCGTCCTCCCAAGCGCACAATGTTAGAACACTCAACATCTCAACTTCGGACCACAGTTCTTGATGACATTATGGATGCAGCAATAGAGCATTCACTCTAGTGATTATGAAATTGGTATGTGTGAATGCTACATATACCACTTTAATAACTAAGAAATATTTCATATATGTACGCTGAACCAGTATAGGGGGATACATAAATCCATTATTAGTTTTATGGTGTAACAGAAGAGGCAGAAATTCACCCTTCGTAACGTCTTTGATGACGGTACGTCCTTCTGGAATTGTTTTCTCTTTCACTGCTGACAGACTCATGTTTTCTTCGCTTACGATCCATTCTTTCCTCCCAACTGTACTCATCGAGCCAGACACAGGGAGAGCGGGCTCGTTTAGAACGGTGCATCTGAAACAAAAAAAATCAAGGGACATTAACCTCAGACCAAATACCACAGTCTAGAGTCAACACAACATGTAATAAATACATTACACACGTACACGGCTCCGCTTCAAACTAGAGAAAACATTCCCCTTCGCTTGACTGCGCCATTATGGGCGTGTACTGGTTGCGCAACATACAAAGGATTAGGGTTGATTACTTCTATATTTTTAATACGTTAAGATCATCAGTGGGCGACTAAAATAGTAGGCCCTGTTTGAGTGCATTTCAGTTCATTTTAATGCAACCAACAATAATATAGAACATTTACATGTGTTCCGAAACATATGTGATAATAAATGATTTCACCATCGCATAAAAAAGAGCTTTTAACAAGCTGCACGTCTGCACATTCACATATCTTCAATCTCTATACGGTAAAAGTATGACATATACAACATCGATAACAAGGCCGCGATCCACCCAGCAGCGTAAACCAGCATCTGGAAAGGTTTGAGTAATCATGATGATGAGTAAAACAATGCCCCATTAATCTTAAACAATTGGTTTTGTATGACATGCTTAAAGGAATAGAGTGCGTCCCAAAAGTAATGGTAAGTTGTTTTTCTGTAAAAAAGAAAGGCGGAAGGCCGTTAGCCATTAGCCGTTAGCATTGAGCAGCGGAGTCGAAGCTTTCGTCGTTTCCTCCTCGTAAGAAAAGAAAACGTCACTCGAGTGAGCGTGACATGTTCTATGTCCAAATGACATACTTACGATATGGTTTACGCTGGGAAACTTCTTCAGAAGCGTCACTGATTCCTTCAAATGAATTCACAAAGCACACGGGAAAGTTGTCCGGTCGTCGTCGTCTCCAATCAAAATGGCGTCAGCTCGTGGAATCCCACAGAAGGAACTTTCTATTTGGGTTGCCAGAAAACACCACAGATACACGCGTTCGAGCCTTGATAGTCACGCCCAAAACAAGAAGATACACGACCAGTCTCGTTCATTTAATTAATTTAGTAATAATAATAAACATAAGTCGCCGCAAATCTATGAACCAGTTTTTTCTGTGTTCTTAGTAAAGAATGACAAACTCATTGAATCGAACAAATTAAAGTGATGAAACCACCAAAAAAAAGCTCCCGGATTTTTAATATTACAATTTTGGGATATTGTTTCTCGTACCTTTAATATTCTTTGGTTGGTTTACCGCATATCGGTTAATATAGAAGAAACATTTACACACACAAAAAAAGATTTTAGGCTAAAGATATTTTTGGACGATGGTTGCTTCAATTCAAATCACAAACTGTCTATGGTCATGCATTATTTTAGTGCTGTTTCAGAGAGACAGGTTCATCCCATGGATCTATAATAATATCGGGTTCATCACATAACATTCATTCATAACAGTATCAATTTCCAATTTTGTGTCACGTGCATAGACCCCAGACTACCATACAAGCCGTGTTGTTGATGAATATATTACATATCACCTGTATTTTTCGTCATGGATACAATACATAAAATATTGACGGCGTACAACCGGTCTGGTTGTTTAACAACCGGTTTAATTTCATATTGCATGCGTTTCGGAAAACTTGGCAACCCTGTTCAGCGCATGGAATTGTGGGTAAGAAAAATCATGTCTGCGCCCTGTGGTTGAAACACCAGTCGCTATGGTCGCTATGTGAAGGTTTAATTTAACTGCAGACTTGTGTTTATGCATGTTATCATTGCACGGTCACGATCTCAAACATGTCAGAAAACGCCCCAGTGGAGCGGGCGCTTAGACGGGCTGTAATCGCTGAGAGGCTGAGCAAAAATTTCGAGAAACTGCCTGACATTGATCAGAAGCTGTTTCACTACGGCCCCTTGTATTTTGGGGCGAACGCAGGTCTGGCTGGACTGGTCGGAAACAGCTTATACCGCCGGGCTCTGAACGTGACCCAGGCGCGCATCGTGTCCAGTCTGCCGATGGCCGCGCTGCCCTTCATCACCACCGTGGCTCTCTACAACGCAGCCGTCTCAGTCCCCCTTTTGTCCGGGGACCTCAACTGCCCTTCGTGCGCTCTCATGCGGGGGGCGCTGGTGGGTGTTGTGGGTGGAGGTTTGTACCCGGTCCTTCTCGCGTTACCCGTGAATTTCGCCCTCGCAACGAAGTACAGCACAGCGATCATGCCCGAGAGGGGGAACGCCATGCGGTACTGGATCGAAATCTCCAAGCCGATCATGAGGAAGATGAGGGTCGTTTTGCTGTTGCAGGCGTTTTTTGGCACATACCTCGGATCCAGGCACTTTCAGAGCTACTCCAAACTGGCCGAGATCACGTTTGGTCCCGGGGAAGAACTCAAAGACTGATGGACATTACGTAATAAATCAAAATATTTTTTGTTTGTATCATTCTGTACACCTTGTAAACACTGTCCAAAATATAGCATACCTAAGCAGTTTCAATAAAAGTGTGGTGGTAAATAGCTCCTTTAATTCTCATTGTCTCCCTCAGAACTATTCTGTATGGATTTCTTCATGGTCAATTAAAAGATTATACGCACTGGCTAGTCCTCTGCTGTAAAGTTGACAAATCCGAAATTTAGAAATGCCACAAACAGATTTGTGCCTGAGTGAATGTGATTGTCTTACACACCCAAATATAATTCACTGTACGTACATTCAACTAGATCCACCAATCTTATCTATTTCATTTCATGTTGGAAAGTTGAGACATACCTTTGTGTGACATGTAACTGCGGCTGCATTCTCAATATTTTAATTTGCCATAAGAAAAAAAAAAAACATGACTCCATTGATGACTGAATTGAATGAACATGGTTTATTAAAGTCTTTTCAGCAACTAGTCACAACAATTGCAGCAATGTCTACGATAAAGATGATTTTTTTAAATTCAAAACGACAACCAAAAATGCACTGCGTCAGAGCTTCGTTAATTGGGACCACTTCTCAAAAATGTACACAGCGATGGTGGTGTTGGATTTGGCAGTGTAGTGGCATCGGAACGGTCAGGCGATTGTCGTATTGAACATTAATATGCTTTCAACAGAATAGCAACTTTAGATCAATGCCTTAAAGGGGCATTATGTAACTTTCTATGTGAAAAAAGTTGATATTTTTGCGTATTTGACTGTTAGGGGCTCTAGGATTAATTGTTTTGAAAGTTCTCTGATCCTATAGCATCTTACAGAGTACAGACCGCTTTGATGGAAGGTCAAGGTGTAAGTTATCTAGTAGGTAATTTTTATACAGCGCTTTTCACAGACCAGTCACAAAGCGCTTTACAATTGTTGTGGGCGTTTGCCTCTCACTCCACACAGACAAGGGAGCGGGGTTGCCGTACGGAAGGTGCATTTTTAGTGGTAGGGGAAACCGAAGCACCCAGAGGAATCCTAAACAGATACATGTACAGGGCGAACATGTAAACTCCACACAGAAAGGTCTGGTAAAGTATCAACTTTTTTTCCACATAAAAAGTTCCGTCATGCCCCTTTAACTTTAGTTATGTGAGTGACTTAACATGGTTGAAGTTATTAGGTAAGAATAATGCTTGTCGAGAAAAAATACTGACTGACATCAAGTAGAGCAAACTAAGACTGTTTTAAAAAGCCTATTAATATTATGTCACTTCCTTTTCATCGCCACTCCACACGCCCTTTGAGATGCTCTGCTAATCACATCAAAAACAAAGCTTATGGACGACCCCACAAGGCTATAAACAACATTTCAAGTCAGAGGAGCCTGAAACGTTGTATGGCACAAGATTCCCTCTTTTTTTTTTTCTTTTTACATCAAATACAGCAACTCAATGTTATTATTACAAGACTTGCAATACCAAGGTAATGCCCCTTTGTAACACTACTTTGTCTTAGCATGCCGTTGTACTTCATGTTCACGCAAGGAAAAAGTACGATTAAAAACTCAACATCTGTCAAGCACAGAAATCTCCATAAATATTAAAACAACTGAACGTCAGTCAGAAACAAAAACTTCCTGAGTAGCAGAAAGTGATGGGTAAATGAATGTCACCTTACCTATATGCACAGTTTATACACGTTTTTCCAATGTTCCAAAGCTCGCAATAATGGCACGATACATTTAAAAAAGAAGCTAATACTCTGTAACAGTTTCTCCCCATAAGATACAATAAATAAAAATAATACAATAATAAAAACAAAACATTGGAATGACTTTAAAGAAGGAATCGTCCAGTCAATCTCGTGCATGACAACAAGACATCCACAAAAATCATACGGGTGTTTTGCGCGGGTATGAGATGTTGGAGAAGGGTATTTTAGAGAAGTTACGGGCAAGCCAGCGCCCCTCACATCAGTGTTAGTTACAGGTCACAAGTAAGGAAATAAAGCTCTATGTACAAGAGCCAGAGCAAGAGGAGCAAATATAAAACAATATTATTATCAGTAGGAATTTCACGTATAAAGTGGTCTGCCCTGTAACGGTCTCTATAGTAGTAAACATGTCTCGACAGTAAACACGCAAAGGAGAGGGCTCTGGTTTTCAGAAGCTGCAAAAAGGCCTTATTTTAGCTTAACATATATAGAGAAATATCTGGTACGTGTCGCTTAATCGTGTTATTGTTCGCGCTCTGAGAGTCCATTACGCGAGGAATCCTGTTCGCCGCGTGGTCGCAGATTCTTCATAGAAAACACCTAAGTACCAGCTTGGTTCCTTCACAGTTCGTTTTAGTGCAATGAGATCTCCCCTCGCTGGTGGGAGGGCCAGCTGCCGTCAGAGCCTCATGTCTTTGCCAACACGTTCGCCCTGAAAAAACACACCCACAATTGTTGATTATTATTATTGTTGAATCTTAATTGGAAGCGTCGAGAATGAAAGTGAGAAATTGCATTATATAGAAACAATGCAAATCAATAAAACAAGATAAGGAATGAAATGAAGTAGGGAGGGGAGGGAGGGGTACTCGGATTTAATGCATTTTGGTGTGTGTGTGTGTGTGTGTGTGGGTGTGTGTGTGTGTGTAGGTCACTGTTATTGCTGTATGTTATCAAAGAAGTATTTGGAAAAGTAGTTATTGATTGACTGCGGAACCTTCCGCAGTCAACCATTGGTTTTGTATTTCTTTATTCCGTCATTTTTTTTTTTTTGACACGTTTCACAGCTTTCACATTTTCAACAATTTCCACAAGTTATACATCAAAACGTTCCACATGTTTGGGAGATTATTGCTATTACTTTTGGGACTTCAGCGATTTCCGGTTTTTCCGCAATCGGACAAAAATCTGCATTGAGAATTCTGCAATGCATTTTAATAGGCCCATGCATTTTAATAGGACTTCAGCTCTTTCAGACATTTCTACAGTTTCAATGATTCAACAGTTTCAAGGATTCAACAGTTTCAAGGATTTCAGCAGTTTCAAGATTTCAAGAGTTTCAAGGACTTCAACAGTTTCAAGGACTTCAGCAGTTTCAAGGACTTCAGCAGTTTCAAGGACTTCAGCAGTTTCAAGGACTTCAGTGTAATCATGCAACCTAATAGGGATTTTTCCATGTAAACCAGTATAATGCAACTTAATAGGGATTTTTCCATGTAAACCAGTATAATGCAACTTAATAGGGTTTTTTCATGTAAACCAGTATAATGCAACTTAATAGGGTTTTTTTTCATGTAAACCAGTATAATGCAACTTAATGGGGATTTTTCCATGTAAACCAGTATAATGCAACTTAATAGGGGTTTTTACATGTAAACCAGTATAATGCAACTTAATAGGGTTTTTTCCATGTAAACCAGTATAATGCAACTTAATAGGGTTTTTTCCATGTAAACCAGTACAATGCAACTTAATAGGGATTTTTCCATGTAAACCAGTATAATGCAACTTAATGGGGATTTTTCCATGTAAACCAGTATAATGCAACTTAATGGGGATTTTTCCATGTAAACCAGTATTATGCAACTTAATAGGGATTTTTCCATGTAAACCAGTATAATGCAACTTAATAGGGATTTTTCCATGTAAACCAGTATAATGCAACTTAATGGGGATTTTTCCATGTAAACCAGTATTATGCAACTTAATAGGGATTTTTCCATGTAAACCAGTATAATGCAACTTAATAGGGTTTTTTCATGTATAATGCAACCTAATAGGTTGCATTATACCACCAGACCAAGACCCAAACGAAGACTCAGACCACCACCAGATAATGACCACAGACCAGGTTTCCTTAGTTACAGGAACCAAATTGTTTCAGCGGTGAGGGGATTTTTCAGTTTCAAGGACACTTTCAATACATTCAGTAGTTTCAAGGATTTCAGCTGTTTAAGAATTTAACCAGTTTCAAGGATATCAGGAGGTTCAAGGATTTCAGGAGTTTCCACACTTTCAACAGTTTCCAGGTTTAAAAAAGTTTCAAGGATTTCAGGAGTTTCAATGTTTCAACAGTTTCAAGGATTTCAGGAGTTTAAAGGTTTCAACAATTTCAAGGACTTCAGGAGTTTCAAATATCTATCAAGTATTTTAACAGTTTCAAGGCTTTTTAAAGGATTTCAAGGATTTTTTTTAGCAGATTTCCACATTAGATCTGTTCCGCAGTCAATCGCAATGGCTTCAGCCATTGCAAGTTTCTAGTTGTTGTTGGTAACAGTTGTAACAGTGTGAGGACAAAAAAACAAAAAACAATGGTTAATTATGAATAATAGTTTAATTCATAGTTTTTAAGTATTTGTGCTTGAGTCCAGAATGGTAAATGAATTCATAACGAATCTCACCTGAGTGCTTTCCATCGGTCTTTCTCGACCTGGTTTTCTGGACTTTCGCTTTCATATGATGCAAGGTAAAGTCCTAGAGAAAGTATACATTAAGAAATACATTTAAATAAGAACTAATGTAAATACAGTTTACTCAGACAGATAATTATTTTTCTAGGCCATATTTCGAAATCTGAATTATTATGAATGACAACGCAAAACCTTTTTCATGCTCATTGTTGAAACCATGTATTGTCAAATAAATGTGTTTGATCCAGGGATAACATCATTGATATTGGTATTCTTTCTCCTGTTTAATTCTCCCTAAGTACAGAGGATTATCTGCAAAATGTTAGTTAAATGTCCACAAAAAAATCAATCCCACATAATTGGGAAGTAAATCACCTGATGTACACAGATTATCTAACTGTATTTAGATTGAGTGCGTCTCAATCTCTGCACTAAATATATTGTTGATTATGATGTGAAATATATGAACTCAGTAAAGGGTAATGTTATGATAAACAACACACGTAAAATTTCCTCAATTTCACTGATTTGGGATTGATCTAACTGTATGTACCAAATACTTTGATTTGTGATGACATGTCTGATGATAATGACCTATTCAAGAATAATGTCTCCTGTAAATGTCTCCATTGTGGAATCAATAAAGTTTATCTCATCTTATCTTACCGTATTTATTTTTCTGTTACTGTTTACTTGATAACAGTGTTGCACGGGTCAATTGATAACAAATCCCATTGAGTGAAAACTAAGCTGTGATGATGTGTTCTCAGGCTAACCCGCTCAGTATTCAACTTTTCACAAGTATTCAGAAGTATTCATAAACTCAGTGTGGCCTACAACGACTGCTGGAGGATTCTATTGAGGAAGCCAAGACGGGGGAGCACACTCTGTTTGTGTCTGCAGGGATAAGGACATTTCAGGCAGCCTTCCAACGTCTGATGTCCAGTTTTATCTGTCACGCTCAATGAAAGTCAGAACATTGTAATCAAAAGTCTGACGAACGTCGAAGTGAGTGCCAATGTGTGAGCACCGATGTCACTGTCTTCGGCACAGCTGTCTGAGGGGGAGGCTTGCTGTGGTTATTTGAGATGTTGATTTTTGTGATGTATTTGCCTTTTTCTGGACCACAAATTTGTAATAAAGTTTGGAAAAAGTCCCAGGAATTTTGCCAAGACGAATGGGCAGCTCTTCCTTCAGAGAGACTATAGAAAATCATTTCATTTGACCACAATTGACTCTTAATTATCTTGTGGATGAGGTTCTCTTCTGATATTAAAGGGGACGTACAGGAGACGTCTAATCAGGGTGATTTGAGGAGTTTTTGTTGTGAGTGAAAAATGTTTTGCGTTATCATTCTTAATCTAAAAAAAAAAAAATTCCATTGAAAATCTCCTGCCTGGCTGTGCATACTTTTAAGCACAAATGGACATAAAAACACAATTTGGAAACTCACCGTCTTCGCTGAATATGGGGGCAGTGTGGAGGTAGTGCAGGATGGACCGATCCTCCTCAAACGGACACTCCACCTGTTTCCATGTCATAAACTCCCCGACCTGTCGCGCCAGCTCCATGAATTTCTGTCAGAAAAGTGCAGACAAAAATGACTATTATCCATCATACAAAATGTAAATATGCAGAATATATACAAGAAGAATGAGGGAAAATCTTATATATTGATTATTTTTCAAGACCTTATTGCAACTATATGTAATATCCTTTCATATGTCAAACTAAAGTAGAATAAAAAATATTCAGAAATCAGAGTCACAGTGCTGATGGGCAAGAAAATACTAGAATAGACAACATAAATGCAATCTTAATGTTGGTTCACAGGCCATCTGAAATGAGAATTTGTTTCTAATTGACCCACCTGTTTAGATATTGAATAAATAAATGCAGAATAGAATGAGAAAATTAAATCTACACTAATAATAGACACAACTTTCATTTCATTCAGTGCACAATCCACATACAGATAGAACTCGGAAATGTTCTAAAGTGCATTTACTTCTGAAATTCAGCTAAAAGTTGGAAACTAATATATGATATAGACTCATTATCTGCAGGTAGATCTATCCACTGCAAGATGAATAAAGTTTGTTATAATGTTGATAATTAGCTCGCTGCTTATAAAATCCCAAAATAAAACATCCAGAAAATGTGATTATGTTGAAGAAGGACTGTAAGCCATAATCATCACTGTTAAAACAAAAAAAAGGCTTGACATGCGTCACTCTGCATGTAGTGAGACTATATCATTTTTATTTTTATTTAGATTACGTTTTATTTTAGTGTAGCGCTATTACTAATTTATCTTGTGTTGTGTGCTCCTCAATACTGTTCTGCAACTTGTGATGCAACAGTGACATTTCCCCACTGTGGGACAAATAAAGAATCTCTTAATCTTAATCATATATTGGTTTCACATTTCAAGTAGAATTACATACATAAATAAACTTTCGAACAATATTTAGAATTTCCTAGTTTCACCTGTAAATACTAAGCTAATTGAGGTAAATCTAACTTACTTTTTAGTACTTTTTAATGACAATGATAAATGAATACCTCAAAGTTGACATGGCCATTGGGAAGGCGGTTGGCGCACCCCTCATTCAGGAAGTAAATATCTTTGATGAGCAGACTGAAGAATGGGATGACAACCTGAAAGAGAAAGGCCTCAGATCAGCTTTGGGCTCATTCACTTCCACTCAACGGGACATTATTTTCTGAAGTCCTTTTTACCTTCTCTCTGTTGCTGTTGGCAGTGCGTGAGCGATGGGCCGCCCCCCTCAGAGCCGTCCTGTAGTTGTAGAAGTTCCCCGTGGGGTCCATCTGATGCTGTCGAAACAAGTGTGAACACGGAGCCCGCTGTTAGCCGCAGGTGAAAGTGCACTCGTGTGTCTGTGCGGTGACATGTGCTCTAAATGTACCTCCAGAATGAAGAATTTGGCAGTCTTGGCTTTGCCCCAGGTCTTCTTCAGGCGGGACACGGGGGTCATGTTCATTCCAGCTATAGAAAGGCATGTGTTACAGAGCGCAGACTTATAAGCACATCATCAGTCATTAGAATGTGACAGATTTGAAGTTGAATGTTCCCAATAAAAGCTGGAGATTTAAGGACATTAGTATAAATATAGAGAGTTTATATTATTTTATTGTTAAAGTGTACAGTAGTGCTACTGTGTTGTGTGCACCTCATTCCTATTGTTCTTTAAATTGTGATGCAACACTGAAATTTCCGAATAAATTATTACTTAATTTGAAATCGTAATGAAGATAAATGTATATCTGATGTTTATGTACATTGATAAATGTTTGGCTACAGTCAGCTGTAGCCAAACATTTATCAAGCAAATGTAACTTTGTAATATTTGAGAGAAAATGTAAAAAGGGGTAAGAAACAGTTTTACTTCTACCTGCTCTTTTCAAGATAAGATACACTATACTATATACTATTGATCTCACAATGGAGACATTTACAACAAATATTTTGTTGTAATTTTCAAATGTTATTTTTTCTATTTTTAATTTATCTCCTTTTTTATTGTATTGTAAAATGAATAATAATAAGAAAGAAAACACTAAAACAATTATTGACTTACATATGATGGCCATGAGTGAATTGAAATTTCCGATATTAAAACACTCTCTGGCCACATCGATGAAGAACTCTATGACCGTGGCTCTCTGCTTCTTCTTTGCGGGCTGTGGATGAGAGAAAGGACAGAATAAATGTTATATGTTGCTCTATAATAACTCCAATAATTACTGAAATGGAAAAATAAAACAATTCAACCCAAACAGTATTGTTATACACATATACGCTTGTATTTGTCTGTTTATTGAAAGGTCTTTTTTTTTTTACTTTCTTAAAAAAAAAAAGCTAGAATCAATTATTTTCTATTTAGAATACTGTTTGACAATTGGCAACTGTTGTAATGACGGCACATGTCCAATAGAGGGCACTGGCGCAACATAAACCAGACTTTGAATTACATTTCACAGCCAAGGAATCAGTTCTGACTTAACGTTTACACAGCATTATATAAATACATTAACATCATGTTGATAATATACAGACAAGACAAGTATATCGCCCTCACCATGCAGATCTCCGTGGCAACCAGGTAACACAGTCGGTTGAACCACCTGACGTAGGCCTCCAGGTTTGTGGTCTTCTTTTTCTGATCACCGAAGCACGGCTGTGAACGTCCCAAACACACAGTTCTCACACCAGTTCACTTCAGATAATTATTACTGCTTTAAACATCAATTATTATGATATAACCATTCACTTTAACAGCAGTTACATTGACTTATCTCCTTAATATGCCAAAGCTAGAGATTTTATTTAGCTTCTTTTTATGCTAGAGAGTCAGACAATGTATTTTAATTTATTTTAGATTTTGGCTTTTATTATAAAGTTATTTTGTTTTATTTTATTTTAGTACAGGGCTATTATTCATTTATCTTGTGCTGTGTGCTCCTCATTCCTACTGTCTGTAACTTGTGATGCAACACTGACATTTCCCAACGGCAGGACAAATAAAGGATCTCTTCTTCTTAATCTTAAATCTAAAAGGAAGGGACGTGTAGGTTGGGTTCATGTTCGAAAATAGTTTTTCAGTTGGAGAGCAGGTGCCAATAGAACTCTAGGGGAAAAGTTTGAGAAAGATAAGTCAAACTGTTTCCCAAGATAATAATTTAATATTGACAGTGACCCGCCATAATTATTCTTATGTCTGAGGGTCCTTTGTACTGGCCGCCATCATGCATATTTGTCATCACTTCTATACGTCTATGTACTGACTAAGAAGATGTGGAACTTTGTGACGGATTTTTATTCAAGAGGATTGGCTCAGGAATCACAAAGAAATGATGAGAAATGATGAGAAGTCTGACTTTTGACAGTTACCATAGTTACCACGGGGCGAAAAAAACTGACTTCCACAATAATCTTTGGATTGGTGTAATGTCAGTTTTGCAGTTTACAAGTTTAATGCTCCCGATAAAAAGGAAATTAGTGTAAATATAGAGAATTTATATTATTTTATTGTTAAATATTCACATGTGTTGTGTGCTCCTCATTCCTAGTTCTTAAAATTGTGATGCAACACTGAAATTTAGTTACCACATGAACAAAAAACAACAATAAAAATCAAGGCTAAGTCTCTCTTTGGAAGTATATAGGGATAGAATGACTGACTGAAATTGATGGTAAAAGTAAGTAATTTCTTAGCACGTACCTGAGTTCCATCCAACGGGTCTTTCTGCACAAAGGCCTGGACAAATTCTTCTGGTTCAATCCGTCTGAGATGTTCCTAAAACACACAGAGAAAGAGGGGGTGACGTGGGTGGGGGTAGATCTATTAATACTGGTTTCATTTCCGTAATGGAAGGGCGATCGATAAAGGAAGTAACCTCTCATTGACGCGACTCAGTGGAATCATATTTCCCCTTTGCGACACATGAGACAATATTCATGTCTATTTTAAGACAACCCAGACGTGAGCAAGAGACAATGACTCATTAAAGCCCCGCTGTGATAGAAGGCGCTACAACAACATAAACATAACATGGAGACCACGGTATGAGCAAGTTGGGAAGTGGCCAAATGTGCAACATGTTTGAGCTTCAAGTTGATATTTGAAAGAAGGATGACATTGTATTTGTTGTATTAGAAATATAAACTCACAGAAATGACTGCAAAACACCCAACTCAAGGTAAAACATGAGGTATAACTTTTCAATTATGCAAACAGTTTATATTGCTAAAATTATTTTGGTTAGCTTTAGTTAGTTTAGTTTGTTTTTGAAAGGAACAATGTACAACAACAGCAAGTTCAAAGGCGGATGTGTTCCGCACCAGATTATTATAATATCTGCAGATGTGGGTGAACGTAGTGTGAATTAATAACCTCAACCCACACATTTAGATCGTTGCCACAATATTCTGTGGACATCAAGCTGTATACAACACATTATCAAATTATATACAATTAAATGAATATAATTTAGGAGCCGGAGTTTCAAGAAAATATACAATTGGTGTTGGTTTGAGTTAAAGGCATACTGTAAATGTGAAATATCTTCAGTATAAACCAAAATTGGGATTGGACGTAGATTTTTCATCTAATTTACATATTGTGACACGATCAAGGTGGCAGACATATTGGAAAATGTCGAATTTGTTATAAAGATTTTTAGAAAACTGAAATAAGGGAACACTGTCAATATGTTTATCATTAAACCAAATTTGGGATAGAAGTAAATTCACTGATCCAATTTATTTAATATTTTAGCACTGGTCGGGGCCGAATGACATTGCATTATTTTCAAAAACCTCCAATGATAAAGATAGCACTGCTTAAAGTTTATCAGTCATGAAATATGGAGTTAGGTTTCATAATTTCCCTTTCAAACAACTGTTGGACAAATTTGTTTGTTTCAGAGGAGATATCACTGTGTAGAATTTACTGTTAAAGGTGGGGTACGTAACTTTCAAGGATTCTTCTATCACTCATTTTTCACTCATATATAATTGGTCACTGTCACATCAGCTTTTTCAGATGAAAGTGAAAAGACCACCGCCACTCAGCAAATCAGCTCTCAGATTCAGATCCATCCATTCATGCATTTTCTTCCCCTTTATCCATTTCTGGGTCGGGGTGACAATCAGCTGCTACCCAATCCACAGCGCACCAGCCCCTCACTGATCCTCCTGCAGGCGGTGGGTCCACAGGAGGATGGCTGCTCTGTCTGTGAGAGCATAGCCTTGATCTCTCAGATCCGATCTTCCAGATTCAGATTAATGTACTAATTCATCTCCCAACATACAGTGTAGAAAAGAAAACAAAGGACAAAACATGAACAAAAACATTAACATCTGTACAATCACCCGATATCTCTTTTGGACGGACTCTTTCTGTTGGGAAAACAGTAGTTTGTGAGGATAGGTGTAAGGTCAGAGTGTTTAAATTACCAAAACATATATATGATGTATAATATAATATATATTTTGGTGTTCATGTTTAAAATAAGTCATAACTATACTATATAATACTTTTTGCATCTTACTCACAATAAAAAATGCACTTCTCTCATATCTATTCAAGCCGTTAAAATAGGGAGCAGTTTGAAACAATAATGTGCAGCATTAAAAGCAATTTATTTATAAAAATGATATAAAATTTGACTCGGTACTGTCTGCACTCTGACCAATGTGTGCAGGAGTGTAAGCTGTCAGGTCGCATACATCCAGGCTGGGATCACCCCCGGGGCCATAGAGCTGACTTGTGCAGTGATGTCACAGACCATAGTACGCACACACACACACACACACACACACACATACACACACACACACACCCACACATACACAAGCACACACACGTGGTCCACATCAAACACACATGACGGGACAGGAGCACGCGTGGGCCATGTGAGGGCTGTTCGTGCTCTGTTGCATAATTCTCTTTGTTCATCTTGGAGCAACAGCTGACATGAAATCGTTACAGGAATCTTTAAAGCGTTCCAAGATCAGCGCGTTTAAGTGTTTCTGCTCGTCTCCATTTGTCGGCTCGTCCTCCCACGCGCGCTAACCGGTCTGATCACGCTGTTCGCTTTTCAAAATGAGGGAAAGCTCGACTGGACTCCCACCACGTTTCAGGTTCACTTGCCTTGGTTTGGTCTGATATACGGTAATCCTGCTGTGGCGTCTTTGCACAAGAACATTCACATCAGGCCCGTCGGAAGGGCTGTGCGACCTGTGCCGTCGCACAGGGCCTCGCACCACACAGGGCCTCGCAATCCTTCCTTTTTTTATTTTTTTATTAAATAAATATACTAGTTCAAGAGTCCCCAAAGGGCGGACTGCGCTCCAAATTCGGACCCCTAATCCCCTTTCTCTGGACCTCTGATTTCTTTTGTTCAAAAGTACATTATTACAAGTGAAGTCAAATTTTCACCAAAAGCGATTTGTAAACAGGCAGGCGCGAGGGCAGCTATCTACGCAGCGGGTCCTTTACGGAGCTGTCAGATAACTTTAGCAGTGTCTGAGTGAAGAAAGTAACGGGAATGAGCCCAGTGTACGGAGAGATGGATACTCGCGTCTTCCGTATGAGGAGGAGGAGAGAGGAGTGTGACCAGAGGAGGAGCTGCGAAACAGGTGTGTGAGCGCTGTTATTGTCAATGTTGAGCCCGAATATCCACATCAAAAACATATTATAAAAGCATTAGCAAACACTGTATGTCCAACGTTCATGCTACTGTGAGTGCAGTGAATTTTGGGCATAAAAATGTGGTCAGAGTTTGTGGAGGAGGAGGAGCAGGAGAAGGAGCGTATGTTGTGAGTGTGGAGGCATGGCAAAAACGTTATTTGATGAGGAAAAAAATAACAAATATTGACTCCGCCTCATAGCCATTTTGGCGCATTTTGCCGTAATCTAACAATTAGAAAAAGAAGAAGACTCCTTTTGGTTCAATCTTTTGAGTTGCTGCCATTTTGCCACAGGACGAAAGAGCCATGTCAGCTAAAAAGACCGCGACCAATATACCAATGCCAAGCGCGGTAACAGTTTGTGGGTGGGTGCGTGCGTGTGTGCGTGCGACGCTGCATTGGAGCGAGGACACACGTCTGCGCGCGTGCTGATCTCTTCACGCACAGCGCGAGGCGGTGCTGAATTCATGTCAAATATTATAACATGAAAAACTTTCCTGAGATCTGGGAAAAAGGTGTCAGGGCGGGGCCTCGCGTTTCAAGTTTGCACAGGGCCTCGCACCCCCCCTTGCGACAGGCCTGATTCACATTCATGATAATTATCGTCTTTAGCAATGCTGCAGGGAGTATTGGTCTTCTTGCATATCAAGGTTTCAACTAATATGACCTTATAATACATTTTCAACCTGAACAAAACAGACCACAACATACTGTCATCTTCATCTTATCAGAACAAAATCACCTGAAAAATCTGATCTAAAAATGTGACAGAGGCCAAAGAGAAAATGTACGTGAAAACTAGTGATACACTCGTTTGAGAGAAAGGAACTGGTAACATGGATTTTATTACATAGCTATTTTGAGAGCTTTGAAAGTTAAGTACCAGTGCTTTAAATTACTTTGAACCATAAGATAATTGTTTCCTCTAAGTTGTTCTTTAAGTAATTTAAAAGAAGAGTAACATATTTTCCCTGAATCAATCACACCGTTGCTCACACTTCCCCCATAGTATCACTAATATACACAAGATTTGGCTTGAAATGAAACCAAGAATCAATAAAAACATTTTACATATGAACGTCCGCTGACTTGTTTAATTTATTCAACTGTTTTGGGTCAATATTGAGGAATTTGGAATGATATAAATAATGTGTTGATTTACGGGTGTCTCTCTCTACATACCAGCTCGATGTGGGTGAGCTGCTGGGCCAGTGTGTAGGGGTCATTGCAGATGGAGAGCATGTCCTTGGTGATGGGGGGAGGCTTGGTTTTGAAGGCCACCAGTTTGTCAGAGATGGAGGAGGCAGTGAGCGAGACCTTCACGATGCTCTCCTCCCCCTGGCTCATCAACGCCAACCTCTGGCTCAGCTTCTGCAGCAGCTGGTTCAGGCTCTTCCAGTACGCCTGTAGAGAGGTCACGACAGAGGCACGGTCACGAGTTAGAAGGAGCCGGTGCAGGCATTTGTACAGGGCTTTGCAAGGCACAACAGCTGTGAGAAGATCTCAAGTGAAACACAGTATCAGCATTGCTTCATACATTTGCTTCTTAACGTTTGGAGAGTTTTAGGTTGAGCCGATCAAATATAATTTATTCAGAACAAAAATCTGAATCAAATCAATTTATATTTGCACAGCCCAAAATCACAACAGTGGTCATAGAATTATTAAGAGATCTTTTATTTGTCCTACAGTGGATGTTGTCGTAAGTGCTATAGCTCTGAGGGTTCACATGTTCACAGTCATGAGTGACTACTGTACATTTCATAGTCCTTCCATGTTTTAGATTCACCTTTGCAAACTTCTGGCTCAAACATGTAGCTCCGCCCCTTCTGTCTAAAAGCTCTTGTCAGTCCTGTGATAGTATTATGGCATTGTACCACGATGACATCATGCTCAGAGCAGTTTTCTGTCTTTTAAAACAAAAGCATGGCCCATAAATTAGTTTTGGCAACATCTCTGGTGAAGTTACGTCATTTTTTTTCATCACTTGGCTATGTTGGCAGCTGGTAATTTTTGAATTTTGAAAATAAACATAAAAATAGCTCTACAGTCTACACTTCCTTGGGTGGTAGCATAGGGATAAGGCAGGCTGACATCATTATTTACCCTTGATACCTGAAAGTAAATTATCTCATTATTTGTTATTTTTTTATTTTTTTCAAAGCACAATGCATAGTACTTTGTCGTCAAAGTTTTCTTTTTGACACAAACTGATTGGTAAAGGAGAAGAAATTTATGAATTGTTTGACAAAAGTCTGAAAGTAAGCGTGCAATAGTAGAGTATAGTAATTATTTTCTATATAACTTGAAGACCAAAATAAACACACACACACACACACACACACAGTCAGACAATAGACACACCCAAACACTCTCTGACCCTATACCTCTCCCCAATCACTTGCTCTGTGCTGAGGGCATCACGTACTTCAGCGTTGTAAAGGGCTGTTGTCCTGCCCACACAAAGTTCTTACATCAACTCGATAGTATTCTAATACAGATTCGACATTGCAGGCACAAGATAAATTGATGTTTAGTGTATCCTGTTAGCGCTAACTGCTGCCTCATTAACATCCATCTTACAGCTTCACATTAAGTCCTTCACATTTCCTGTTCCATCCCTTGAGCTACAACTTCAAATCCTCCCGAGCAGAGCGCACACTATCGCCCCTCAGCTGCACAGTGGCATTAAGGCGAGCTGGTTAATTATTTTACATGAGCCCAGTGAACGTATACACTTTGCCCAGGAATGTGCTTGTTCCCCCTGCTGAGACCAGACTCTGAGGCAAGGGGTCAGTGTGTCTCACAAATTACCCACAGTCCATCTAAATGCACACACACACACACACACACACATGCACACACACACACACACACATACAAGGACACACACACACAAACATACACGGACACAGGACACACACGCACTCTGTATCTGTAAATAGAGGCACATTCATCACCACCTGCCCTTGTGTCTCTCTTTCTCTCTCCTCTTCTCTTTTCTGTCTGTCTTTTACCACTAGCCTCCACTGCCTCCCCCCTCCTCCCCCCTTCTCCTCTTTCTCGATGTTTCCCTGGAGGCTGCAGACAGGGCCACTCCTCTCTCTTCCTCTAGTCCTCCTCCAGAAAAGCTATTGTGTAACATGCAGATGCTTACGGCCTTATTCTGCTTTCACACTACCACTTACATCAGAACCACTGACATTATGCCAGACGTAACATTACAGCCAGCTGCCCGCGCTCAGTGGTCCTGCTAAATAAATTTAAAAAAACAAACACTTATGCCTGTTGCCATTTGCTTAAAGGAAAACAACATATGCATTATCTTTGGCCATTAAAATTAAATTAAAATAACCCTTTCAGAATGTGAAATGATATATAAGTTAGATAATGTATGGTGAAAAAAGTATGAAGGCTGAAATGCTCTCTCCCTTCCAGAGGTAATGTTTATATACATAGCGCATTTTACAGACCAAGGTCACCCAAAGAGCTTTACAATGTTCAGAGTTCATTCCAATCATCACGGTGATGATGGAAGCGAGTCGCCGAACACACTGGCGCATCAGCCCCCAATCAACACCATCCATTCACTCTCTCATTTACATTCATACCTATTGTGCATGTTTTTAGTGGTAGGGGAAACCGGAGCATGCAAACTCCACTCAGAAAGGCCCTGTCCCGCCTGGGATTCGAACCCAGGACCTTCTTGCTGAGAGGCGAGAGTCCTATCCACTCAGACATATTTTTACATATATCAATATAACAGACAAATAACTTGCACCTTAACATGTTATTGGTATTTTTCTTTTCACAAATTCAAAACTGAGCATGTTTTAAAGGGAGAAATGGCACAAAAACTATGCCTTAAGTCGCAGTATTTGATTTTTGTGCCAAATGTTCCTGACATTAGCATGGCTGGATCAAAAAACAACTCCCGGTCTGGGTTCATGAGGAAAAGAAAATGCGTAATACGTCTCCTTTAAATAATCACTTCTGTGAGTACACACCAGAGGTGGGACAAAGTCATTGTTTAGCAAGTCACAAGTCAGTCTCAATTCATTGCCCTCAAGTCCCGACTCAAGTCACGAGTCAAGACAGGCAAGTCCCGAGTCGAGTCCAAGTCAAAGGCCAACAAATCTCAAGTCAGTCCCAAGTCCTACGGTTTGACTTTCGAGTCCTCTCGAGTCTTTTTGACCGCGATTTGTTTCTTGTTGGTCTCCACGTACTTTTGTAGGCAGACAAAATAATGTTAGGAATCATTTTGCTGGTGCATTCTCGTTGGTCTCTGACCCATGGACTAACAGTTTGTTCCATGTCGTTGGCTGCTGGTAAATCAAAACTATGTTGTGCCAGATGCAGGCTCAGTTACACATGCACAGACCACACATAAAATCAGAGCAGTCCGTGTCAACATACTTTTTATCTTTGGGGTTTTTAATGGGAAGTAGCAAGTGCAGCATATATGAATATGAGTATTGGGCTAGGACCTGTATCTATATAATCAGTTTAATGTCCATAGTGGTTATTGTTCCAAAGGACTGAAGGGACCAATGGAGGGGAAGGAACCTGGCCTGTATGAACTGGGCCAGCATTAGTAATATCTCATAATTACCAATATATCATTACATAATAAAATGTCTCATATAAATTAATTCAATCAGTCAAAGTACTGATTCTCATATCAATGAACCATAAACAATAGTGCAAATATTAATCTAGCTTAGTGCACATAATCAAAACAACTATCTAATGTATGCAAACTTTAGCAGGAGGAGCACAGCAAAAACATACTCATAATAATAGGCCTCGGCGCCCACACAGAAAAATATAAGAAAGAGCCAACAGAGCAGCGCAGGCTAGCGCTAGTTTGACTCACCAGTTCCTCTTTAAAACACGGCACACAGTGTGACAACTGCGTCGATTCAATTGTATGAGGCGCCTGTAGTGAAAGCATATCAATTACGGTTTGTAGAACAAAATATGACGTTAGGTCGCGATAAATACCTGCAGCTCGCTCATTTCCAGCTCCCCTACGACAAAACACACCCACCGGTGAATGCAGTCCGCTTGTTTAGGGAAGTGTTGCTGCGCGAACTGCGGGGAACTCACGTTCGAACTCTCGCGCGAGCGCTACAACTACCGCGAGGCTTTGTTTCTTCAGAGACGGCATAGATAGAAAGAGAGATGCGGAGAAAGGTAAAAAGGGCCCGGGTTACGCAAGTCTTTGCAAGTCAATTGGCGCAAGTCCAAGTGAAAGTCAGAGTCATTGATGTTAAAGTCCAAGTCGAGTTGCAAGTCTTTTTATATTTGGTCAAGTCGAGTCTAAAGTCATCAAAATCATGACTCGAGTCTGACTCGAGTCCAAGTCACATGACTCGAGTCCACACCTCTGGTACACACATGTTAAACCTGCATTACATGAGTACACCATGACTCTCTTACTTCATCACATGGAGCGATCCTGTGAATGAAATCTTTCAGTTGTCCGACCATCTTGTCATCTCTAAAGTCCGAGGGAAACGTCTCGGTCCACTCCGTCAGCAGCTGCAGGATTTTGGGACCAAATTTGCGCACTTTTGCCTAGTGACAGAAAAAGAAGAAAACTGGTAAAAATCTATTCTCTTCTGCTTCTCTTTTCTGCAGGAATATCTAAATTAAAATTACATGAACAAGAACTTCTAATAAATCACATTGTTTGTTTATTGTGATTGAACAACTTTAGTCTGTTCCACAGTATATAAAATGTATATATAAAAAACTATAAACCATAACATATTTTTTGGGCATCAATGTTTTAAAATATACTTTGTAGAGTCTATTGAATCACACATGTTTCAGTTTTCGTGGGTGGGGTCCATAACTTGTATAAATGATTGGACATTGCTAACCCCTTAGCTTCATGAAGTCTCATATTAAGTGCACATAGGCTGGGCTCTACTCACTTTGGCTCCCACTCAATCATGCATGTTCTCCCCTGCTTGTGTAAGTTTCCTCCGGGTACTCCGGTTTCCCCTATCACTAAAACATTCTCAATAGGTTAAATTCTCCAGCTCTGATAGTCCTGACCTAGTCGAGCATCAATATCTGGAGATGGGTTCCCGGGCGTTGCTACTACGGCGACCACTGCTCCTGATGTAAGCCTTCGCGGCATCAGATGGGTCAAATGCAGAGGATGAATTGCCCTACGGGGATCAATAAAGTGGACCTTTATCTTTACCTATAAATCCATATAAGACCCCTAATAACTAACCCTGAATTTGAGCGAATAGACCAGCACTGCTCCTGATTGGCTCTTTGGTTGCTAGGCAGTTACTATCTAAGAATTTGGCCCCTAATTCCCCCTTTAGGAACCTGCAGGGGATAACTCTAATCTGCTTCTTCTGCGATAAGCCAAATGCCATGATGTCAGTTTGTCTACTCCTACAGTTTATCAATCCAGGAAAATCCACATCCTCATCTCCGTGGAAACAAGCAGGTGGCGTATACCCTCCAGTTAAAAAAGTACATCTTGTGCTGGTGAATAAATCTTGTCAAACTATTTAAATGTACATGCCATTCTTATGTATTCCATGCTGTCGCCTATACGCTGGTATACAGTATGTGTGTGTTTGTAAGTGTGACCGTGTCTGACCGTGTCCAGAGGGCTCTGGTCCAGCTGCTGCTGCTTGATGCACAGTTCACAAACGCGGGCCAGCAGGTCCGGAGGCGAGATGAAGAGGCGCGCGCTCAGCAGAAAGGTAAACACATAGGCTTTCTGTGGAAGAAGACACTCACGCTCAGTCTATAGGCGCAATGCTGAAACTGCGTAATTAAAGCAAGCAGCTACATAAAACATGGGACTGGTAACTGGCCGTCATATAAACTCATATTCAAACACGGTGAGGGGCATACATCCAAATTTGGGATGTACAAATGTGATCTCCATGAGTGTTTACACCTCCCCCATGAGCAATACATTAGTGGAAAGTCGTATTTGTGTTTTAACAATGTGTCTGGGTAAAACTGGAGCAAGGGAAATAAAAACGAAATAACCAATTAAGCGTGAAATTACACAGTTTAATAGAAATGTTATCCCGTTCAATAAAGGCGGCATTTTATTTCATGGTGCATCGTTAAATTACATGAAACAAAGTCAGTATAAGCTGCATCCAGGGATTGACGATGTCTTTGGCGACCAAAATATATTAATATCTTTTCAAACGGAAATGAGAAGACATGGCAAAAATCATTGAAAGACTTTTTAGGTAATCACTGTGTTGTTAAAAAAGCCGCGATAAACCCTCAGTCACAATTTTATTTCACGTTTTTATTTACTGCTAGTGATTTTATGCCTGAATAGTTGATTTTAACACTATATTGAAGACTTGTGAGGCCAGTTAAGTTTAGATATAGAGGTAATAGTTTTAAAGCTGAATTAGGACCACAAGTTTCAAACGTCTGAATTCAAAATGTGAATACTGTTACAGTTTTTTCACATTTGTATCGTGCTTTCTTTGGCTAACATAAAGAAATTTGTATTTTTCAAAACTCTGACAAAGACTTTGAATGAAGAAATATCACCAAAATTCAGGATCATGCTATAAACGTTTACATCACTCACTTCAGGGTAGTAATCGGCAGTGGGCACCAGGTTCTGGATGAGCGTGTCCAGAGAGGCAGAGGTGATGGGGGGTCCGTTGGAGAGGCAGGCCCCAGAGCCCGGACCCTCCCGCGGGGCCTCCTCCTGCTCCTCCACAGGCTCAGTGCAGGCCAGGTGGGGGCTGTAGCCACTGGGAGAGCTGAACATGGTCTGGGGCATTCCGGGCTGTAACACACACAACATCACAGGTTAAGGTTCAGGTTCAGGTTCATGTATACTGTATTGTCCCTGAGGGTAAATTTGTCGCAGAGGAAGAGAGATACAGTTGGTTTGATAATCCAGGAGGAAGTAGGACAGTTCCAGTCACCCGTGTGGTTAACAAAAAAGCATTTCCTCTTCTATCTCTCTTTACCGGCACTTTAAATAGGCACTGCTGTAAGTAATAATAAAACAACCACAACAGCAAATTACACAAGTTTCCCAGAGTTTCCAAAGTACATTTTGAGCTGCAGATGAGACATAATCCCATTGCTGGTATCAGTCAACCATATATAAACCATATAGAAAACCTACATTCAAAAAACGTATATTATTTTATGACAGCGTAAAATAATTTGATTTTACAACAGTTCGTCCCAACAGAAAGTACATTAAGTAAATAACGTACAATATTAAGAAAAAAGCAGACCACTACATGTGAGTAAGAGCCATGTCACTGTTTGATGCTTTGGGCTACGAACTGATTGACTAAATGAGGGGGGGACTTCTTCTTCTCTTTTTCTGTAGACATGCATGTGAAATCTAGTGATAGAACCATACTGTTTTGTGAGAAAGGAACTAGTGGATTTAATGACATAGTTAGTTATAGGGTAGGCATTATAAACCACGGCTTCAGCCCACATCTTTTTTGGTTAACTTCCTTATTTGTAACTAAATAGCCCTTTATATATTTGAATTTGTTTGTCACCAAAAAAACATTCATTCATTCATTCATTCATGACATAGTTATATTTTCTGTGGTTTAAAATATAGGTTGCCTGGCTTTCACTTTTAACTAATGTTACTTACATGTGGATTTTTTTTATTGAGGCCCTATAGAGGGTTTTGCTTTTTTATGAGTTGAGTTCCATAGGTTACAGCCATGTTCCAGAATTTCTGTTGGACGGCAGGTGCTGCAAAACATTAATTTTGAAAGAGCAAACATCTTGTCATTTTCCCAAATCATAGTCTGATAATGATTAGATTCACAGACCTGACATAAGTCTTATGTCTGAAGTTCTTTTTACACATGATTTTTGAACATTATCACCTCTTCTAGACATCTAAACAGAGAGGATGTGGATTCATATAGATTAGCCAGGAATTACAGAGAAATGGGCTCTAAACTAAGGCTAGAAACCCAAAAAGGCAAAAGTAGAAGGTATTCTTAGAGAAAAACAATAATTACACAAATGAAAATCAGCGCCTTTTACGTCACTTTTTTCATCTGGATAAAAATAGAGTTCAATCTGCCCTCTCTCCTTCTTCCCTCTCTCCGTGGTACCCTCCCGTCGCCGCGGTTACAGTATGCCCCAACACCAGCTGCCCGTTTCCCACATCCAGAAGAAGAAAAATGGGTCAGTGAGTCTCTCTGCCCTCCATCTCTGCTCCAAAAAAGGCCTCGTCCCGAACCAGAGAGAGAGAGACGCTTTGGGTTACACCACTTAAAAAATTTAACATCCTTTCAATGGAGCAGCTGCGTTGTAGTAGTAGAAGCGGGGGTAAAAAAAGAAAAGAAGAAAAAGCTCCTACGATACTTCACGCTGGAGTAGACACAGTGCAAACACAGGAGAACATTGTGCTCCCAAGATTCTGCTCTCACTGAAGCGGAAAAGGGTTTCACAACAACCACTGAACTTTTATTTACCCTGCCAAAAACCATGAGAGAAAGATACATTTATTTGCTGGTTCTGTCCGGACAATGCAGTTTAATCTAAGGTTGTCATCCGCGATCATTTGGGTTAGAGATGAACCGATCCAGCTTTGATACAGATACTGATCACGGTATTTTGCATTCAATATCTGCAGATACCTGAAATTAAGTGACACTAGTGAAGAGACTAGTGAAGAGTCCAAATGTTTTCGGCTAGATGTTGATTCCACCTCAAGAATGCATGTTCTGCTCCGGTTTCCTCCTGGTGGTACTGGGAACAGGCTATTTCTGAGTGGAGTTTGCGTGTTCTTCCCATAGACTGAAATATTCAAGTTCTCCTGGTGTCTGCGTAGGTTTCACTAAAAACAGTAAAATCCTCCAGCAAATCCGTCCCCAGGCGCTGTATTATGGCAACCACTGCTCCTGATAGAGTCTCCTGATAGAGTCTCCTGATAGAGTCTCCTGATAGAGTCTTCTGATAGAGTCTCCTGATAGAGTCTCCTGATAGAGGCTCTTGATTGGATGGGTTAAATGCAAAGGAAAAATGGCCCTACAGGGATAAATAACGTGTAACCTGCGGTGCTCCAGGTATTCCTCGTCTCACTTCTGTCATCACCGTGAGTGGAGTGGATGGAATTGACTGCTACAGCAAAAAAAGTACAAAGTAATAAGTTGTATGTAATTGGTTGTTGGTTGAAAAAAATCACGTTATTCTGCAGTAATTCTAATTCTGTCTGAGTCATAAAACCTCTTATCGGCATGTTTTGGTCTTGTAATGATAACTTCAGACAAAACAACCTCAGCATTTACTTATTCGAAGCCGTTGGTATAAGATCCAACACACATAAATAGTAATCAATAGCAAGAGTGAAATAAAAGATTACATTTGTAGTTTGGAATGGAGAAAGTCCTTAAATACCAAAACATTCATACATTATTAACTATTGTCCATTATTGATGTTAGCCTATCCATTTTCCACAGCCGTCCTATGGAATTGCCCACTGACCGTGACCTGCATTACTCGCCATCGCCAAGGACAACCACAGTCTCTGGACACCTCAGGAGAAGGTCATAGTGGTCAAACACAAATCAATTTGCCCCCAGGCGACAAAAGGAGGACAAAGTAACTTATTCTGCATTCTAAGCTGTGTTTGGAATGAAAAAGGCCGATAACATTCGATCGAGTTGCAGATTTGCACCAAGAGCCAAAGCTATTTCCTAGTTTGTCACTTCCTGTTACTCACAACGGCAAAAAAAAAAGAATTATTCGGATTCTGAGACTTAAAAAGATGATTTGTTGCTGTTTTAGTGATTCAAACTTGTCACATATTTGGATTATGTTAATAAGTGATAAAGAATACATTTAATTTTAACTGTAAGAAGTTAAGTTATTTTTCCTCTGCATTTGACCCATCCTTTAAAACCACTAAAACCTCTGTCAGGAGCAGTGGTCGCCCTAGTACAGCGCCCGAGGACCCATCTCTAGATGTTGATAATTGGCTGGGTCAGGACCAGAGCTGAAAGACTTTACCTACATCATGTTTTTAGTGATGGGGGAAACCAGAGCACCTCTAGGAAATCTAAACAGACACAAGGAGAATATGCAAATTCCACTCAGAAAGGTGAAGAAGATGACATAGTCTGGGATCGCGTCTTAAATTCAGACAGAAGACATGTTTTATTGTCGATGGTAGAGACAGCACGAACAACACGGACAACAGAATGCAAGTGTATTATACAGAGCGGAGGCATGGAGTCCTCCAATCAGCAGCTTCCACGGTGTGCTTGTAGCTTGGCCTTCAGATAGACAAAACAAGGGAAAAGTACTGGCTTCTGCACATTGATAGAATGATGAGTTTAACTTTAACAAAAGTTGCTTAAAAGTGTTATGATATCTGACAAAGGCTCTGTTCCGATCAGGATTTGAACCCCCAGACCTTGTATCTGAGAAACAGCCTTCCACAAGCCAAATGTTGTGGAAGGCTGTTGCCGCAGTTTAGGAGAAAGAATGCGTAATAATTTTTTATTTTTATTTGGATGCACATTATGCTAATAGAAATCGACAAAAGTTAAAATTAAAACTTTCCATGTTTTTCTTCTTTCCCCACATCTCTAATTGTATCTGTGTGTTCCAACAGTATTCCTTACCTTCACAATTTACAAAGTTGTCTGTTTGAACATTATAATCAATAGTTTAAGGCAGTTTGTATTTCACATCAAGTAACCGCATGAAAAAGACTGCTTACATCTTCCTGAATACATCGTTAGGCAGAAAGAGAAATCGCAGACTTTGAATACAACATGAGCATCTCCTCTTTATGTGACCTTCAGGTGCCCATCCCCCGCGGGACAAAGCAGCGTCTTGTGTCCCCGGGATCAGAGGTGAAGTTTGCTGCTTGAGTAGTTGATCGCTCTTTGTCCTGGCCGCTCCTCTGTCCACTGAGCGCTCATTCATGTGACACCGCACACCTCACACACAAACGCACACAAACACACAGCGACGCACGGGGGGAGGGGGCTGCCTACATGTGGTTTAAACGCGCTTCCTCCCACAACGAGGCACTAAAAGAACTCAAAGTGAACGTCATGAAGAGGCTAGAAAACTTTTTTTTCTTTTTTCTCGACAATAGCGTTTTCATCAGGGCAGTAGCTATAGTAGAAAAATGTTGGCATAAAATAAATTCCAAATATTTACTTTGTTTTGTCCAAACAGCTCCAGAGTGAACCAGCGAGAACGACCAGTCCCTCCTTCTAACAAAATTCTAGTTGGGAATCTAAATCGATTGCAACAATATTTGACTTTCTCACAGTTTTGCCAAGTTTAGAAAAAACAAAAGAAAAACCTACCCAGTAAATATAAAGGACAGTTGTCATTCTTCTAATGAGAAATATCAAGGTGCATTATATACAAAAAGTCATGACTAATAAATTACATATTTAATTGTCTACATAGTCTGCACTCACAGTATACAGTATATACCCACTAAACCAACAGCTGATGGAGCAAAACAAAGCCAATACAACTGTTTTAACTGGACACAACATAATTTAAAGGCGATGTGTTTTAACCCTTTGTAAATCTACTATGATCAAAGCTTTATAAATAACACAATGAACTTTGAGGAAGCTCTCAGTATGCTGTTAGGTTCCATGTTTGGACTCATTTACCAATAAATGGTTTAGCATATATGAGCGTGCAATAGCTACTCAAACTTTACGGAGTCAAAACAAAAAGTCTGCAAGCAGTCCAACTCCATCACAACGAAGATACGAACATGCTTAACCATATAGGCCGCAGGGTTTAAA